AAAATGCCCAAATTTACAGCAGAAAAAAACATGTTTCTACCCCTGGCTCCATACATTTTATTATCGATATAGTTAGATTCCACCTTCATGATTATGGATCTGTGAGTGAATTGTTTTCTAACGCGACCCTTTTATTTATATTAGGTCTTAAAGTTTGTGCATAAATTAGGGCGTGGTCACATTGAGTGACGCTCTGTCAAGTGCCTGCCGCTGTTAGCTTCTTGTCTCTCTGCTAGCTGCTCCGTGAAGCTAGCTACAGGGACTCTGCCTGCTCAGCTCATCCAGGAAACACAACTTGTAGCCGGCCGTGGTTGTTTGTTCTTCATGCTTATATATCGGACTATTGTGACTCGCTCTGCGGTTAAAACAGACGGTGCATGAATGCGGTTTTGCGGTAAGTTAAATTCTAGTGCTTTATTTATGTGTTAATGATTTTAATCAGCCACGTAATGAATGGTAAGGCTTGGGTTAGCATGTAAGCTAGTGGTAGCTACATCGGTGCTAACGATTGTAATCGTAGCCTCCAAGTTAAAATCATAGACTGTATATAAAGGTTAAAACGAAATAGACAAGTGTTAAGTGGGATAATACTGTTGAACAAACGGCTTCTATTTGAGGTTGATCAAATAAGGTTACATCCTTGTAACTTAGAGATATTTTATTATGTAGGTAGAACTGTATGCATCTAAGGTTAATTTAAATTGGCTATGCTCAAGTATGTAGACAAGCTAATGTCGAAGTAGTGTATGTGAAATCAACCTCACAATAAGATGTGTGTATATTACAATTATTAATGTCATATTTCAAGATGATTACTTAGATATTACAATATGGTTGGTTGAGCTGGAGTTCATTATTGAGCTTACACGTTAACGTCACCGTCATCTGAAGAACGAACCCAAACCTTGTTGTTTTTATTAATTGCATTACCAAATGGGTATCAAATAAACAGTAAGCATTGGTAACACAACTTCCAAAGTTACAGTAAAATAAAAAGGACCCTGACTCGGACAATACACAATCCAACATGTTCAACAGAAGAGAATCAGTTATATTGTTTGTACACATGGTACTTTACATATATATCTGTTTGTTTAAGGTGTCCAGGTGATGCAGACAGGCTGGACCAGAGAGAGAGACAGAACTGTACTCCTCACAGCAGTGAACTTCAGCTCAGGTACAAAGACTCTTTTTTCATACTGTACAAAGAATCAAGAAAGATATTGGTTTAAATAAATGAAGTATTGACTTGAATACACTGATATACATTCCATTAAACAATACTAAATACTAGATCACCAAATCATCAAATAAAAACATTACAATTACAAAATAATTATATCTACAGCCCCTAAACACACAAACACACCGCTTTCATAAATAACACACTTGTTCTGCAATAATATGTTTTATGTTTCCTGTCATTTTTGTTAGGAAAGGACATGCCTGAAAGACACGACATTTTCTCCTGCTCTGAGGGTCAAGAAGAACATCCAAGAGGAACATTAAAAGCTGATGTTATGAGATTTTAAGACAAGTACAGGACATTCACTAAGAAACTACTTTTATTGTAAAAACACAGTCAGCTGATCGAATGCAGCTATTTCCACATCTACACTCCATCCGCTGATTATTTCTATTTGCCTCACTTTATGAGCTTCACAACATGTACCTTGTTTTGCAACGTCACAAATAAATGGGGCCAATCTTCAGTCAGATGTGAATGTGTAATCTAACATTTTCAGTAAGAATAATGGACAAAAGGAGAGCAAATACAATTTATTGAAATGTGAACCAAAAGTTAATCAAATGTTTTAAATAAAAAGCACATATGGACAAAAGGTGTAAACCTATTAAATGTATAAGTAAACACATTTAGTCAAATAAAGTGACCGACTAGGCCTGTGTAGGTGGTATCAGCTTTTCCCAGCATGGGCTCCTCCATCAGGCCTGGTCCTCCTCGCAGAGGAAAGACCCTCAGTCCTCCTCGCAGAGGGAAGACCCTCAGTCCTCTCCAAACCAACAGACAGGACGTCCATCACACGGAGGTTTCTCCCTGAAGTCTCTGCTGCTCTCTGGACACCATGCTGTCTCAATCCGTCCACACTGAATATGAGATTGGGAAAATGAAAATAATAAATGCTTTAGACAATAAGAAACATAAAGTTGACTGTTGAGTTGCTCAGTTTTTTTTAGATTGTCAATACTATTACTGTATAACTAATATCTCAGGTTAAGAGGCACCTTCAAATAAAGATTGGCCTTTAAATACATTTTGTCTTTTGAATTGTTTGTCTAAGGTCAAGGATCTATAACTGGTACTTAGTTTTAATGATACAGTCTGGTTATTATGCTGTTTGGAGGAGGCCTCACAGGTAAGAGCGCTAACTAGCTTCCATCACATGTACCTTAGCTTGACTTAAATGTATTAAACGTATAGTTAAGTGATATCAAAATATAAATAACTAATGTCATGCAAACATATTAATATTTGCTTGATTCCAGTGTTGAATTTAGCACAATTGCATACAAACGTTAAGGGGTTTTAAGATTCTGAAGTATTATGTTAAAACTCGATAACTTAGATTATTATTTATAGTTTTGCTGAATAGTTTAATGTCCGCTTACCTTAGAAACGTAAAATGCGACGGCAGCGTGCAGATGGGGAGCATGTGAGCTTAGCTTGGTAGCTTCAGCTAGCTCTGGCACTTCCAGCTCGGTGGCAGCAGGTCCCGCCTCGGCTCCGCCTCTTTGCCCTTATTTGGAGCAGGCTGGAGAAGGCGGGAGTTGAACTCTGGCGTCACTGTCGAGCCGTTAGTGGCCGACTCCGCCTACTAAGGGCTTCACGGCAACTGCAGAATCCTATGGGTGACGTCACGGACCCTACGTCCATTTATATATACAGTCTATGGGCAGAGGTTATGGTTGCCTCCCCTGGTGCTTTTTTCATTGCCATTGTACGGCGAGCCTAAATATCATATATACGTGAAATAAGTTATTTAGAGACTATGGATGGCGAGGATAAATGTAATAAAGGGATCTACAAACATTACATTGGTGACCTACAGTGAGATGGTAACAGGCATGCGCTTAGGGCCCGCTTTCTAGCCAGTTTCTGTGGGGTGACGCATTCTGAGGTGAGGCAGAGCTCATCTGTGCCTCACCTTACCACACAGTAACTGGCTTGAGCGCGCTCACAAAATAAGTGCCCGCGCTAAATTAGTGCCCGCGCTCCAGCAAGTTACTGTGGGCTTACGTGAGGCAGAGCTCGTCCCTGCCTCACTCCTCATCGCTACCCGTAGTTGTAGCGGAGCTCGGCAAATTTGCTGATTTTGACTATAAAAAGCGATTGGAATCATACATAAATCACATTTACAACACAGATCAGTGGAGACATTTTATTATTACTATTTAGTTTTTCTTTAGTTGTTTTCCCGTTACATTGTAGTATGGCCAGTCTATGAGTATGACAGGTGAGGCTCTGCCTCCCCTGACTGCACGTCGCTGCATTTGTGTGTGTGTGTGTTTGTGCGTGTGTGTGTGCATGTTGGATTTGGGGTGAAGTGGAGAGGAGGATGCTTGGAGAGCTGGAGATAGGATTTGAATGGGAGGCTTCTCAGCGAGTACAAGTGGCAGCTCCCCATCTGCTGCCATCATTAACATTAAGAACGTTCCTAATTCAAGCTAATTGCTGGTGACGAGGAAGTAAACAGACCGAATACAGTTTGTGGAGACAAGCTGAAGATGAGGAGAAGAGGGAGGGAAACGTTCTCGAGGCATTGTGAAGGGAGTGCTCAACTGGTTTTCTTGCTGTTATCAATAAGCCCTACTTGTGGCTGACAGTTGAAGATAGGGCTCTTAATCTGCAATCAAATGTAATGAACACTCTGAATGTTCTTAAATCACTCAAGAATCCCATGAGTATGTTGTTCAAAGCCCGCACAACTTTTACATTAACCATTTATTATCTGACTATCTGTAATGTCAAAACGGTATTCTGTAGTTCCCTTCAATTTAATAGAGTATTTTATCGTCTTTCAGCTCATTGTTTTGGTTTAAAGCTGACCATCTTCTCCGTGGAAAAGTTCAAATAAACCAAAATATTGTACTTGCAATACAAGTTGGCATCAAGCTGGTGATCATAGAAAAACATTTGGCAGCTAAAGAGCCACAATGTTCCCTGGGTTTAGGTGGAGACCAAAACAGAGCTAAACACAGAGTGAAAATTGCATCCAAATGAATGCTAATGTTGCTCTGTGTTTGCTCATATGTGCAAATAGTCAAGTGCTAGCCTGTTAGCCACAAAGAAGCCATCTTAAGGTATTGGTCATACCTGAAAAAGTAGGCTGTAGAAGCAGAGGTAAATTTATTTAAGTAACGGTGCCTGTTGTAACAGGCAGATTCCGTTTTTTTATTTGAAGTATTTCTATTATCATAGTTTCAAAAGTAATGTTTTCAGAATCAGAATACCTGTATTTGTCCCACAGAAGGCAAATGTACATTGTTATAGCAAGTAAAGAGACAGAGATAGCGTAATATTAATTAAGAAGCATGCATAAAATATAAAAAATAAAAGTAGATATTCCACAATTTATAAAATACACATCCAGTACCAGTAACAGTTTTGACGTAGCAGCCAAGTGAAAGTATTAAAGGTGGAAGTATATATTGTACAGCTATTTAGTGATGTATATAGAGCATATACTGTATGGCACATAAGTAGTATTGCAACAGGGGTACAACATAGTCGTTGTTGTTATATGTGTGGGGGGCCACCAGGGGCCATGATGGTTGTACAGCCTGTTCAATCATTAATACAAATGCGTCCCTAAGTTTTTCAAATTGTATTTCCAGCATAATGGATTTTCTTTGCAAAAACTTCAGTCTGCAGCTCTCACAGCTATGTTGTTCTCGGCGCCACTGCGCAGTAGGTCCACACGTTTTGCAAACACCCACTTGTTTGTGTAACCCTGGGGGGGGAATTGCGAACCTGAACTCACCGTGGTGGTTTTGACTCGGCCTCCGGGCTGTGTACAAGTCCAGCCAGATTTATTGACTAACAGGTCACAGCCCTCGTCCTCCAAACATGGCACCATCTCACACCACTGCTTTTTCCGAACAATACCAGCTGCAGAGAAACAGGGAAAGGAGGGAAAGAACGATTAGAAAGGTGAGCAGGAATAAACAGATGAATAAAAATGAGGAAGAGAGTCGGTTGTAGAGATGTAACGATTTAAATAGAGGGGGTGGGTTGTGGGATGGAGAAAGACAGAGATGGGCATAGATTTCACAGGATGGACATTGATGGAGAAGGGGAGATTTGAGAAGAATGTAGAAATACATTTAAATGGAGTGAAAAAAGATGGAGGATGTTGAGGAGGGGATTGGAGGAGAGATGAGAAATGCAGGTGGATGAAGAGCAATGAAGTAAGGAGACAATTGAGAGATATGGGAGCAGGGGATGACAGGGAGCGATGAGGGGAAGATGGAGGAATCAGACAGCTGTGATCAGTCAGGTAAATAAAATAACATGACATCACAAATTATATTTGGTTTACAGCCTTTCTTGCACTCTGCAACATTTTACACAGGATACAATATTTGGTAGCTTTAGCGCAAGAGGCATATACAGCTATTCAAATGTGTGACAATTAATACACTCGCCGAGACGTTGTCATGACATGTCCCAATTTGTATTTTTTAATACCGTCTGAGTCTGCTCTGCTGTATTTTGGTTGTCTACATCTTTCAGAAAAGCCCCGGGCTGCAGCTCATTTGTACTGAAGGCTTCAGGAGGTTTCTTTTTGCAGGTGCAATGCAATATTTCAATTCAACGCATTTATTTTGGATTCTAATATTGAATAATCTCTTTTAGGTTTTTAGCATTTTTATACCCACATTTCCTTTATTTCTTCTAACAGTAGAGAGTTCATGCACTGAGATAAGCTCTTTTCTCGTGGATCCTTGAAGCAAAGTGTCACTGAAAGCATTCTAACCGAGCAGCAGGAGCTCTTACAGTGCAAGGACAATGACAACACCTCTCACTGCCACTTTCTCAGAACGCTGGTTAAATGATTTGTTGTGTTCTTTGTGTAAATCTGTTTACTTTGCTCAAATAAACATCACTATTAAGATAGGAGTGATATAGCAGCGAAGTTACATACAAAAAGCCAAAATGAAGGAATGAGTGTTTGAAACCTCTAACTCCTGCCATTACAAAGGGTATTACTACAATGCAAACATGACCAGATGGATAGAAAAATAGACTATTTCCTGCATTAAAAAAATACAGTAGCTTATTATCCACTTTCAGTTACAACGGTGGTACTTTTAAAATCACTATAATGTAACTACTTTGAAAGAAGACAGGTGATATCAATTAACGGCACTTGAGCTCATCTGACTATGTGGGGTGGGTCAGGATAACATAATTGGAAGCGACTGCTCCATTGTCACTATCTTTATAAAAATAAATAAAGGAAAGTGTATCCTCTATACAGCAACAGCAGGCATTTCCCGAAAAACAAATCAGACATAATGTATACTGTTTCTGCTAGAGGCTGTTAGGCTCAATAAATCATCACTCAGCATTAATAGGAAGAGGTTAAAGGATCATTCATATACATTCAAACTTTAATATCACTTACACACATTGCTACACTTCATAATTACAGCTTGGAAAAAGGTGCAAGAGATTTCATTGTAAAAAAACGTTTTCTTTAAATAAATATGTTTGGGCCCAACAGAGTTTGTGAACTATAATGGCTGCTGCGTACGAAAAAAGTCTATTTAAGGGTCATTATTATTTATGTGGTGTATTGAAGTTCTATTCATTGATAAGAAACTAGATAACATTTTTGACCATTAGAGAATAAGGGCCAGATACATGAAGACAGAAGTTCATGTGCATTTATGGATGAAAAATATCATTCTTTAATGGATAGCTATCAAACAAATGAGTTATAGGGCATAGATACATCATACTATCTTTACCATGTAGCTCAAGGCATGCTGGCTCTCTTACAAAGCATGTGGGGATTGTGCTCGGTTCCATATCTATACATTTGCTCTAAGGGCACCTTGAGTAGCTGTCGTAAACTCACATGTAGATCATATGTGAGCACCATACCTAATGCTAATACCTGTTCCCCATAAACAATATTTATATATCAATCAACTCATGAAATATGTATAGCTTCTCAAGCATTACATGGCTAAATAATGAAAGAACCATGAACGTTGTGTCAGCACAGTTAAGAGTGAGCTTGAAATTGACACCAATGTAATGCATTATTATTGTTGAGTGCTTTTTGCTGACATGCTCCTTGATGTTAAATTACCTGCCGCTACTGTGGTTTGCCTCAAGGCTAGCTCCACAAAAACAATCTAAAACGTGTGACTCGAATGTTTTCACTTTGGGGACAAAGTTGCACATGGGAAACAAAGCAATTATAAAAAGCGAAGGAAAATGGGAAAATTATCAAGTGTTGTAATATTTCATTTTACCTCGACTACATACACAACCACATTCCTCCACAAGTACAAAACTGATAGATCTCGAGTTTTTGCAATAGATTCAATGCTGTTAAACCATTTAAGCCAGTTTATTTCTTGCTATGCAATAATGCTAATAATTTGTTTGTCTTGAATGTCAACCCCTAAATGGTTTTCGATCCTTTTTTCATATAGCTTCTTCTGTCATTATTGTGAACAACCAATGGAAACAAAGTAATGCTCTTGAGGAGAGATGTTCTGTTAGTGTGCGCATGGTCAAGCATAACCTGGTCTTTCTCTGACTAGCTCGTCCCCTATACAGTAGGTGTTCCTCAGGGATGCGTTTTGTCCCCCTTGCTTTTCTATGTAAACATAATCGACATGCGTTGTGAAAGCTATGATCTTGCCCTTGACACATGTTGATGATCTTATACTTGTTTTCAAAATAAGATCCTTTGACTACTTAGACATTTGAGCGTTCCTTAGACCCCAAACGTCCCAATTAGCATGTCAAGAATGAAAGCAATATAAATAGAGCATATAGAATAAGTTCTACCTTCAGTACAAGCCAATCAACATGAAGAAAGGAGCTGATAGGAGGCAACAGCAAATACAACTAAATCAACATTATGGGTTGATGCTGATAACATGTTCTAAGTTGACCATATATCTTCGTTTAAGCGTGTTTTCATACAATTATCTTATTATATGGAATGATGAAATCCAACTGCAGTACAAATGTACAGTCCAACAAAAATCATCCAGTTTTACAGAGTACCGAATGCTGCCATAAAGTGACACACTCAAAGTCTCACGTTCAAGACATCCTTTATTCCACTCTCTGTGAATATTTATAACAGGTGCCTTTTAAGCACTTCTCGGCGACACCCACACACTATGAATCTAATAGCCCTCGTCGTTTTCTCTTTAAAGTATTATTTTCTCTTTTAAACATTTCATCACATATTTATTTATTATTTGAACTTTGTGTTTTGTGCGGTTTGTCCTGATGTTTTTCTGTGAAGTATGCCAGAGCCAAAGACACAGTTCCATTTTATGTAAATCTAAAGGACAAGAAAGCGTTCTGAGTGTAAATCACGCTTTTTAAATGGAAAAGGGAAGCAAAAGAGCAGAGGAGAAAATTAGAGGACATATTAAAAGCACACCATTTGCTAAGGTGAAAGAAAAACAAATGGTCAGTTGTAACAGCTCGGGGTTTGGCAGCGTTTTAAAAGATTTTTTTTTGGTTGCTTTTTTCTTATTTAATCCATTACTCTGTGAATTCATCACATTGTCAGCAAGGTCACTTATACATTCACTAAGCGCTTTTGTTTCGCTTCTAAATTACCATGCAGTGGGGTGACCCTCAGCTGATGAAGATGTATAGCTCCGTCAGGTCAATGATAGTAATGAGGGAATGAAGGCTGTTATGTGTGTGTTCAAGAGTTCCTCTACACAGGTATGTTAGAAATGTCATTTTTGACTCAAATACATACAAAACTGCTATCTGGGATTACTCAGTTCTCAGCATTTAAAGCAGTAACCGTCTGTCTGCTGTTCCTTATCAATATTTAAATAATTGCTTATATCAATAATGAATTAGGTGACTATAGTGTGAAATGTTTTGTTAGTTGACAAAGCCACTCATAATCATCATACAACTATACAGCTCTTCCCAGGTCACTTGCTGTTGAACATAGTGGAGCATTTAGCTTCTAAATAGCCACTTGTATCTTTCAGGAGGAGGAGACCAAAAACAGAGCTTAAACAGAGGACATATTGGACAACATGTGCCAGGTGACCAGAGACAACTATTTAATACTAATGTTCTTTGAATCTATCCTCTAGATCAGTGGTTCCCAACCTTTTTTCCCAAGAGCCCCCCCACATGACTCCTGTTGGAAGTTGCCCCCCCCCACACACACAAGGGGCAACAGCGGTAATTAAAGTTTAAAAGTCTCAAAAAAGCTACAACTACTGTCACAAACTGGATGAATGTGAAGTATTTTGTTAAAGGAGGATGAAAGCGTAATTAAGGAGCACTATTGGAGTGACTTTGATGGTTATTGGACTCAGGATTCATTCATTTGGATTCCCGCTGTATGAAGAAATGAAAGGACGGCGCGGAAGTGAAAACAATTCACAAAGGGATTAAACTGTTTAAAACACATGCTCAAAGTAGCCGGATTTTGCCGATGTGTTTATGTGGATTCAAAAGTCGTAAATAATCTACAAAATGGAGGAGACCGATCTGATCGGAGCAACTGACAAATAATCCAACTGAAACCGGCATGGACAATGACTATGTTTTAAAAATGCGCTTATCCAGAAAAGCCCGGTTTGGAAACTTTACGGGCAGAAGAAACATTTCTATAGAAATAATTATACATTTCTGTCTTTTGATGCCTTTATTAGCTACTAACTTCAATTTTTATCAAAATTAATTAATCAATTATTTTTTATATTTTATTGTAGAGACAAGGCTTTTAGTGACAATCATGTATTGCCTTATAATTATATGTAAAAAAATTTTTTTTTAAAAAGAATCAAATCATCTGAGGCCCTGCGATCTTTGGCGCCCCCCAGGTTGGGAACCATTGCTCTAGATGTGTTGATGGGCAAATGTTTGCTAAC